TCTCTGATACAGCTATTGTCCATCAAAAAGCATAACTGTGCTCTTCTTTATAGCTGAATAATAATAATGTGTGCAGGATATGGTGGTGCATGCCTGTAACACCAGCACAGAGAGGCAGATCACTGCAAGTTCAAAGCCAGCCACAGTTACACAATGAGACCCTGTCTTAAACATAGAACAAAAACAACTTAACTGTGTACATGTATATGTTTGTGTGTAAGAGAGTGTGTTTGTGAGTGCTTATGTGTTTCATAATTTCACTATTGTGAACAGGGTTGCAAGAAAGGTAATTTTGACTGTGAACTCCAAGTCTGAGAAATTTGAAGCAGAGAAACCATGAGAACCCTATTGTAACCGTTCAAGAATCCAAAGCAGCCTTAGACAGAGGGGACAAGACCTTTCTAGTGGCCATTCCGAGAGCAGCCGAACTGGAAGGCTGGCCGTGGCATCAGGAGACAAAGGGAGTGCTGGGCACTGTGAGAGCTCCCAGCAGCAACGAGGTAGAAATAGCAGCGGAAGGAGATGGCAGAGCCATCCCCAGACAGCAGGGGAGCTCCACAGAAGGTCAGCTCCCACAGTGCAGTCCTTCCCAGAGGCTCTCAAAGCCAGGAGAGTTGTAATGACTAGGTGGGGGCAGGCAAGCTGGCTCAGTGGGTAAGGACACCTGTTGCCAAGCCTGCTGACCTGAGCTGAATCCCCAGGACCTACCTGGCAGAAGGAAAAGACTGACTCCCACAATTTGCCCTTTTTGACTTCCCCCATGTGCTGCGTCATATGCAAGCCCCCACACTAAATAAGTAAAAATGTAATAAGAGTTTACATCAGAAAAGAGGCAGGAGCAAAAAATCACCGTGAATGTACAGAGTCTATGCAGAGAGGCACAATTTGAGAGCCCTTAAACGTGGGCACACTGGACAGCACAGAGTGATTGTAAAATACCACAGAGGCAACACAGCCAAACTCCTGTGTCCTCAGGAGTGCTGCCAGTGTTGGTCAGTCCCTTCAGTCCTTATGTCCATCCATGGGGGCATTTACTATCAGATTAGGGGATAAATACATTATTAAAATCTCACTCAACCGTCAATGGTGCTTCAAAACCAAACAATAAATTACACCCAACCACACACTTTGGCCGGCTCCCAGCCATGTCTGGGGAAGGACGGCTACCAAGTGTGTCTCTGTCAGTGTGCCTCCTACTCTGGGGAGCCTTTCAGTAACCTGAACAAAATCTTTCCTGCCTTAAGGAGAGAGGAACTTCATCATGACCAAGGGAAGAGAGACTCGTGTGTCCTTGCTAGCACATCAGAGTGAAAACTGAAGCTCAGGGAAGCTTGAGGGCCGTCACAGAGCTCTAGTTAATGACCGTGATTTTCAAATGTCCACGGTTGTCAGAAGTTAATAGATGGTACTAGAAGAAAGAGGTTCAATCGGAGAGAAGGCTGGAGTGGTGGAGCTGGAGTGAGAGTGGCTGGATTTGGCCTCAGTCCTCCCCACCCACGGTCTTCTCTTCCCCAGGTGGCTGACCAGAATCCCACAGAGGTCTCTGCTCTAGATCAAGCCTACAGCAGCGTGCCTGTCTGTAGCTGCCCCGGCACCTGGCTCCGTCTGACCTTGGGGATAGGTCTGGTGACTGTACCCTTCTGTGTCCTAGGCCTGCTTCTTGCTAAGGGGACAGACACATGAAACCTTCCCCAGAATGTTCAAGGGACAAGTTTACTGTGGTGCCAGGGATGACCTGAGGTCAAAGTTAAACCAACACACTATGTTGCATCTGCTCACGGTCTGGAAGACCCCTGATCCTTCTGCGCATGAAACAGTCAGATGCTGCCATTCATGACAAAGCCCTCGAAGGTGGCCATTGACTGCCCTGCGGACCCACAGGTCCTAGAGCCAGGAAGAGCCGCCCACCCTTTTGCTCAGCCTTAAAAGTTAAAACCTCACGTGGCAAGACATACAGCCACACCCTTAACATTAACTCCTTTGCTTTGGGGACATAAATCAGAGATAATTTTTCTGGGCATTACATGACACTTGCCATCACACAAAAGCCATGTTAATCTTTTCTCCCATGGTTACAACGTAACCTTTGCCTCCCTCTGGCCTCACTGTATTTGCTCATCAGCTCCTCTTGTATTTTGAGAGCACGCACCAGCTTCTTGTTATCGCCAGGGTTAGCAGGGAGGGGTGTGTGTTGGTATGTAGATATATACATGGGCTGTGGATGCCAGAGGACTGCCTCAGCTGTCATCACCCAGTCACTCTCCACCTTATTTTTGAGACACTGGTCAGGAAGACTAGGCAACCTGCCCAGCAAGCTCAGGGGACCCGACTTTGTCGTGCCCCCAACTCTGGAATTACAGGTCTGTGTCATCACACCTGGTCCTCATATTTACTTTACTGACTGAACTGTCTTCCCAGCCTTCATCTTCAGTTTTCAAAAAACAGGACCTCAAATGTCAGGAAAAGCTTCTCTCCACAGCGTGCATTAGCTAGCACTGTCCCTCCAGGTCTTCCTGTTCACATACGTGAGGAGACTGTTGATCCAGGCAGCACCCACTGTTCCATCAAGGCAGAGAAAGATGGAGTCTGGGGTGTTATTTACTACAGGCTCGGCAACAGCTGGACCAGGCCTGTGCCCTTATCCCCACAATTGTGTGGGTATCTCAGGACTTGTCCCTCAGGAGCTGACACCCCCACTGTAGGGAATGCAGCTGGCCTTCAGCTCCCCACAGAAGCTGAGCCTGGTGAACAGGACCAACCACTTTGTCCTGCTCCTCTGCAGAGGATGGGAAATTATGAGGAAAGAAAAAGACATACAATTAGTAAAATTTTCAAATGCAAGATGTTTCAAAAATTAGGAAAAAGAGTTCATTGAGATGGAGTGGGGGTGAGGGGAAAACACCAAGCCGAGGGGTAGTGTTGAAATGCATTGTGGGAAACCACAGGGACCAGTCTGCAATGGTATCCAATGCAGGGGGCACTTCTCAGGGCACAGTTCAAAGGAAGGCATCCCACAAGACTGCCACTGCAGCACTGATTCTGACAGCAGTATACTGGGAAAATTCGATGTGCAATTACATGAGAACATCTAAGTTACACCAGATCAATTTGATGAAATGTTGTGTACAATGAAAACAACAATAACAGCATTCACACCGCAAACTGGAAATACACACACCACGAAGAGCGCAAACTCTGCTGGTGGGGGATAGAGCACGGCTCAGCAGGTGCAAGGAAGTGCTTGCCTAGCATGCATGGAGCTCTGGGTTCAAGCCCCAGCCCCATGCAAACCCCGAGAGTGGCGGTGCACACCTGTAACTCTAGTATTCTGGAGATGGAGGCACGAGGATCAGAAGTTCACGGTCATCCTCCAATACATGATGAATTTGAGGCCAGCCTGGGAGACATGAGACCCTGCCTCAAAACAAATAAAATATATTGTCACAGCTCTGTGAAATTTCATTTTTGTGTGGATTTCATACATACATATATGTTGCATAAGAATCTTTGTAAATTTTTTTTTTACTTCTTGTCATGGATAAAATAGTAAAGAATAAATCATAACTAGCTTGCTCAGAGTGAGCTAATTGGGTATCGGAGTCTCTCCATGTGTTAGGACTAGTATCTATCATGGAGATTTAAAACCAAGAGTTCGAGGAGTCAGCACTCAACATTTTCATGACTGAGGGAATGAGTAGCCCTGGACAGGCTCATCCCTACCACAAAGACAGGTTCTAATGAATTCACAGAGTCATTCTGCCCTGAAGTCAGTGTCTCAGTTAGGGTTTCTATTGCTATGAGAAAGACCATGACAAAAAGGATCTGGGGGAGGAAGGAGTTTTTATCAGCTTACAACTCTCAGGTCACACTCCATCACGGAGGGGAGACAGGGCAGGGACTGGAGGCAGAAACAGAAGCAGAAGCGGTGACGGGACGCTGCTTGCTGGCTTGCTTCTCTTGGCTTGCTCAGCCTGTTTTCTTATACAGCCCAGAAGCAGCACAGGCCGCAGTAGCACAGGCTCCCACTCCATCATTAATCAAATGCGCCACAGCTTTGCCCACAGGCCAGTCTGCTGGAGGCATTAGCTGAGCATCCTTCTTTACAAAGGTCTAGGTTGTATCAAAGTGACAAAACCAACCAGCATCGTCAAGGAACTTTCTGGGCTGTCGTCTGTGTAGGTCATAGCCTTTTCTACAGTAGGAACGTGTGTGTGTGTGTGTGTGTGTGTGTGTGTGTGTGTGTGTGTGTGTGTGTGTAACAGGACATCTCAGAGCACACCTAGAAACGGACTGAGCACTGGCTCTGAAGGGGATGTGGGAGGCAGAAAGCAGCTACATGTCCTACCATCTCTAGTGTCTCCTATCTTACTATGTCCATCATTCAAGACTCTCTCTCTCTCTCTCTCTCTCTCTCTCTCTCAGCCAAGGCTGACCTTTATCTCCTGCTTCCACGTCCTAAGCACTGGGATTACAGGCATGCTCTACCGTGCCCCAGCATGTCCTCTATTTCATTCCTACTGAAAAGGAACGACTATCGGGAGATGCTCCCTTGAACAGCTAATTCTGGCCAGTTAATTGAAATGCTTTCCCCATTCTCAGTCTTGAGCTATCCACTTACAATGTCACCAGGCTCACGTTTCTTCCTTCCCAGTCCTGACTCTCACGTATTTCTCACCTGAACCAGTCTGATTCTCCTCCTGCTATGTACTGGGCTCTTGTCTAGTTCCCCATATGCTGAGGCCACTTTTTTTTTTTTTTGTTTTGTTTTTCGAGACAGGGTTTCTCTGTGTAGCTTTGCGCCTTTCCTGGAACTCACTTGGTAGCCCAGGCTGGCCTCGAACTCACAGAGATCCACCTGGCTCTGCCTCCCGAGTGCTGGGATTAAAGGCGTGCGCCACCACCGCCCAGCTTGCTGAGGCCACTTTTATCTTCAGCTCAGTCAAGAAGTCTAGGACAGGATTTTCTGATTTGTTAGCATCTGAATACATAAACACATGCACGATTTTACAACAAGACTTTATTGCAAATACTTGGGTTCCTGTAAGTCAACATAATTAATTATCTTGTCACAGATAGGTGAGACAATCCAACCCATTCTTATCATCTACACTCCAGAATACAAAATGACCCCAAGGAGCACCATGGCTTGGATATATCAGCTTTTATTTCACATAACAAGCAGGACACTTAATAAAGCAATAACTTATATGACAAAATTCAAAGATCAAATAAAGTGGTAGTATTAAAAATAAAAGTCAAATATGTACACAAGAGGGTGCTGACCAATGTATGTATAGTTGCTATTGTCCACAGCACATCAACATGTACATGATGTTCATGTTGCCCATAGTAAATGGACATGTTCTGAGAAGCACCACTTACGCAGGAAGCTTCCAGAAAACCCACCCAATATGAGGCTGTGAGTGGCAGTTCCTGGGATGATCTTTGGGGTGATTGGGAAGGACTGGGTCAGAACAGTGGACAGAGGGTGGGGTTGCTGTAGCCAATCAGAGCCCAGGCTACATAGTGGGGTTTGCTGGCGGTGAGGGGTTCTGAGTTGCTCTGAGTTCAGTGTCTCTCACTCTCAGGCAGAATTCACAAGAAAGTCACAGTTTTTAGCTGGTGAATGAGTTTCACAGCTCAAAATGCAGAGAGGACATCAAAGGCACTTAGGAAGGACATTGGTTAGGAACAGCTGCCTGTGGTAGTTAGGATTCCCATGATCCTCCTCTGAAACCAACTCTGAGCCTTAGGAAGGGGACTTTGCCTTCCTGAGGCCCATGAACACCATCTCTAAAGTCTACCTCCTCAGGTGCAATTACAGGACTGTCTGTGAAGGGCTCAGTGTGCTGCCCATCCACATCCATTCCTGGGGAGGGAGCCAGCCTCATTACGAAGGAAGGCAGAACTGGAATCAATTGTGACATATTCACCTGATCCGGGGAATGATCAATACCGTGAAGTTTCAAGAGCTAGACCTGGCAATGATGAGGTAATGAAGATGCTCAAGCTGGCTGCTCTCTGAGGTCCAGCTTTGCAGCACGGTGGCCATGTGCCACTGCCTCCCTTGCCGAACATCACAGTGAAATCAGATAGTACCCATGGATGGGTTCTGAAATCAGTCCATCAACAGATGAATGGATAAGGAAATACAGAATATTTATAAGATATATGTGTATGTGCTGTTGTTTTAAAGAAGAATGAAATTGTGTCATTTGTTACAAAAAAGAGAAGCTGACGCTTTCAACACAGATCTTTGCTGGGGTCTTGGTCATCTCATAACAGTCTAAACTCAAGCCCCAACCTCCCTCAGACATTTGTATGTGGCCCCATAAAAACCTGTCCTGTCCTATAGTTTGGGGATCCACCCAGGTCCTGGATCTCCTGGGGCTCCAGTGGCTAATGAGAGAAAGGTTGTCATGAGAAGATGGTGTGGCCACAGGAAACACCAGCCTTTCAACACCCAACCCGGATGGTACTCTAAGACCAGAGGACAACTAGAGGTGTGGTACAACACGTGACTGAAGTGTCACTCACCTGCCCTGACGCTGATACCAGTTTTTGCCCAGGAGTCTCAGCTGTCCCTCCCCTGTACTCAGGACTCCAGAGATTTCTCAGTTCCTTAAGCTTTCAAATGCACCATGACCTCATAGAATGTTATGGCGGTGTCAGAATAACATAAACCACTCAGGCCAGTGGTAACTGTCGGGCGCCTCATGCCTGGAAAGCTGCTTTTTCAAGTGTCAAAGTTAAGAACATTCTTGGCAACAAGAGGTGGTCCTGATTTCAAGTTTTGCTTCACTAGAGTTAAGTCAATGATTCGGGGGCTCTGGGAGTCATGTGACTGGTTCACCAGACTTTCAGAGGCACAATTATAAATGATTCAGAAATGTGGTTCATTATCAAAACATCAAATCTGGGAACAAACGAAACATATTTCTTATTCAAATATGCAAAAATGTGTCTTCAAACAGGCTTCTCTTCAACTAAGGGCAAAGTGGTCCTCAGCATGGAAGGCTTGGAGAAGCGGCAGGTGCCTTCCAGAAATGGCAGAGTGATTAGGAAGGGTTAAAAGCTGTGGACCCAAGGGCCCGGAGTGGGGCAAGAGTGTCTCGATCCCTGTCCACACAAAGGCCAGCAGAGCACCTGAGAGAGGCCTTCCTGGGCAGACATGTCAGACTCTGCTAAGCTCAACAGCTGAGAAAGTTGGGCTTGATTTCCAAGATACAGACAGGTGCACTAGGGTCATCCCAGAGGGTGCAGCATCATGTACCCCAAGACTGGGGGAATGAACAGGTTTGCATGGAGAAATGCAAAGTCCATCGGGTTTGGGGATATTGAGAATGCATGGAAGCTGGCAGGCTCCATCACACAGGCCCTCTCACAGGGTGGCTAGCCGAGTTGTTCTTGGCTCTCAAGCCGGAGTTGTGAGTCCAGGTTCTTATCATACAGACGTGTGTCTCTGAGGTATCCTCTTGTGGTAGTTTATCTCCATTATCAGCTTGACTGGACTCAGAATCGCCTAGAAGGCAAAACTCTGAGTATGTCTGTAAGGGTGTTTCCAACGAGATTTAACTGAGGGATACCCACAGCCAATGTGGGTGGCATCATCACATGGACTGGGATTTTTTACTGAATCCAAAGGAGGACGAGATTAAAGCACAACATTCATCTCTCTCTGCTTCCTGGCTGAGGATGCGGTGTGACCGGCCGCCCCATGTTCCTGCCGCCACGCATCCCCTACTGTGATAGACTGCAGCCTCAAACGTGAGCCACAGTAAACCAGCCCTTCCTCCCTCCCCGCTCCCTTCAGTTACTTTTGTCCAATGGTTTTTCACAGCAACTGAAAACTAGCTAACACACTTTCTTAGTGCACCTCGTGAGCCCGCTTGGACAACCTGCCTACAACCACCAGCAGGAGTCTCAGCTGGGCCCAAGGAGCAAGCCCCGGGGACCTGAGTATGCCGTTATGGAGCACATGGCCTCAATGACCCCACTGTTCTGTGACTCCTTGGAACCAAAGGGAACAATAGGTTCAGTAGGAACTAGAAAGACTGGCTCAAAAGAGTCACCTGTCCCCACCTGCACCCTGCCCCACCCCACACTCCTCCCACCTCCCACCTCACTGGCCTGAATCTCAGAAAGACCTGAAGCAGCAGACTTGGGGGGTGGGAGTGGGAATTTGGGGGTGGGTGGGAGCGGTGTGCTTTCTGAGCTGTAGTCATGGCTGGAGAACACAATGGTGCCAAGGTACTGTGAAGGTGCCCTGGGGCAATCTCCTGAGACTGAGCAGAGCCCCAGGGGAAGTGGCCTGGGCAGCTAAGGCCCCACACAGACTCCGAGGTTCCCGGGCTCCAGGCATTGGAGTGGCCGTAGAGAGACATGGCAGGGGCAGTGGCCATCTCAGGTTTGGTTACCCTCAGAGGTTCTTGAATGGAGAAAGACCATGCTGCAGCAGAAAACAGAAAAGGTAGTGAGAAAAGAGGCAAATTCCAAGAAAATTCACCCAGTCAAGAAGAAATCACTACTAGCTCCCGTACTAGATGCTCCCGTCCTGACATGGAACAGTAACCTCTTGTGACAACCGGGAGAAGAAGGATCAAGTCACTCCCCCATCTCAGTCTGTGATAAAGCTTGGGCTACTTTCCCATGGGAGGCCAGCAAGGCTCTGTGTTTTGGAATTGGTCCAGACACATGGGTAAATGCAGGGGGAGTGGCTGTACCAGAATAATCCTGACGATGTGGTGGCCCACGTCCATGCCCCCAAACTCTATACTGACAACATGTGGCCTATCCCCTTCCCAGCCCCCACTCCAACTGATGCCATGTGGCTCACCTTTTCTCCAGCCCCCACTCCATAATGATGCCATGTGGCTCACCCTTTCTCCAGCCCCCACTCCATAATGATGCCATGTGGCTCACCCTTTCTCCAGCCCCCACTCCACAATGATGCCATGTGGCTCACCCTTTCTCCAGCCCCCACTCCACAATGATGCCATGTGGCTCACCCCTGCCCCACCTCTCACTCCATGCTCACACCTCAGGCCTGTGCTTCCTGAACACCAGCTGTCAAATGGGAGGCTGTGGTCTCTCCTCCTGTCTCCTTTGGTGGCTGGAGCTGCAGGATCATGGCCTGTAATGTCTCCTTCACCATCTGGAGCTCCCCCTGGAGAGACTGTGGATGTTGTTAAGGAGCACACAAGGAGGAGGCCCCCATAGGGCCTGTGAGAGCAAGCCAGCCTGCAGAGAGCAGGTGGACACAGACATTGAATCGCAGCTCCATGGTCTCCCAAACCCTAGCAATTAAATATTGATGAAAATTTTATACTTCCTCTTTAAAAAAAAAAATCATGACTTCTGCCAGGTCCAAAGTTATTAACATTCACATTTTGATTTCAAAACTTTGAAGCAAGACTCAGCTGTTCAGCGGAGATAGATGTCCAACTCAGATGCTCAGTGACATGTGCCAGTGTGGCCACAGAGCTTCTCAGTCCCCAAGCTGGGGTGGACAACTGTCACATCCAAGTGCTCTGAGAGTGGAAAGGGCAGGTGTTGGAGATCAGAGTCTCCTCCAGAAACCTAGCATTCGGGGCCACTGTAAGGAGGAATCCTTAACATCGACTGTATGCACAGAGGGTGCTCTTGACGTGAGCCAGTCAGCTCAGCATCGGAGACTGTGTACTCACAAGACCCTGGTACAAAGTTCTTTAAAGCTCTGTTTCTTCTCAGTGGGTACCTTTGGACTCTACACTATCCTAGGCTCTAGGCCGCTGCCATTTTTCCAATCTAGAGCTAAAGGATTTTCCCCTATCTGGGTTTGTAGATTGGTTGCTTCTTGAATACCTGGGCTACTAATTTCCTAACCAGTAAAGTGGTTCCTTCTGGAAAGAAAACAGTCAAAAAGAACTCATCGAATGATAACACAGGACTGATAAGGGCTCTCCCAAGAAACCGGTTGGTTCTCTAGACGTTCAACAAAACAGCTAACCAACAGGAGTCTTTCTGCTCCTGCATAATCAGGTCCCCTGTCTCTTTCTTCTGTGGCACTGTCAAAACTCTGAGTTGGGTTGAACAAGCAAAGGACGCAACCTCATCCAGTAGAGACAATGGGAAAGGAGACATAAGTTGGCAGCGCCTAACTACGCCCAACTCTTCAGGTGAGGTCAAGCCACCATGAGGTTAGACATGGAGGAAGCTGAGTCTGAGGACAGTGCAGAGACTCAACAGGCCACAGGCCACCTGCGCTGCAATGTTGCTCTCCTCAGGTTCGATATCAACACAGGGCCAGAGAAAGCCACGCCCTGGGGGTGTAACTAACAAAAATTCTCTCAACCTTTTTAGGATAAGAAGCTCCAAAAGCTCTTGGGAATTATGCAAATGAGCCTTTCCTGAACAGAAATGCCAATCCACCCTGGAAAGTTCAAGTAATTTTTTTTTTTAATCTTCTGGAAGTTTCAGCAGATTTCAGTTTCTGTGTCATGTCACTCCCAGGACAGTCCACCATCTGCTCTTGAACTTGAAGGGAAAAAGGACAGTACAGGCAGAGAAAGGAAGGAAGCGATCCACTAAAATGCCCTTGGGTTTTGTTGTAAAAAGTGTTTTTTGCCGGGCGGTGGTGGCGCACGCCTTTAATCCCAGCACTTGGGAGGCAGAGCCAGGCGGATCTCTGTGAGTTCGAGGCCAGCCTGGGCTACCAAGTGAGTTCCAGGACAGGCGCAAAGCTACACAGAGAAACCCTGTCTTGGAAAAAAAAAAAAAAAAGTGTTTTTTTCCTCCATTCCTCCAGACCCCTGGAAGGGTGTACTAATCTCAGGGTGGGGTGAGGGTGTCATATGACTTTTTGCAAGCCAAAATTTGTGTACCAGACTGAACACCAAGCTGCAATTTGTCACAAGGTCTGGTCTCTGGTAAGGAGTAAGCAGAGTGTACAGTGGTCTCTGGATCCTGACAACGTCCTGGGATCTGATTACCTCTGACCCTGGTCTGGGGTTTCACAACACTCTAGACTCTGCTAAGTGATGACAGGAGTCTTACAGAGAGAAATGAAGCCAAAAAGTGATGCTCAGAAAACTTCTGGGACCACAGAGCAAACTAAAAAGGCTGAAGACAGAGAAAAGCCACCAGAGGAAAAGACTAAATTATAAAATTAAATTAACACATCAGTTTCACACATAATAATTTCCATTATTGCACGGAAGAGTCAGTAAAATGGGATCTGAGAATGCAAGTCCCCTGGGAAGCTGGGAAAAATCACATCATGTATACTTAATTGTCCCATCTGTAAACTATAGAATCTCACAGCTTAGTCACAGAGGCAGGGTCTAAAGGCTGGGTGGGGGTTTGGGGCAGAGAGAGGGAGAGGAAGGGAGAGGAAGAAAGAGAGAGAAAGAGTCTTTTGTGAGGTACCATGAGGTTTATGGCTTATGTGCCAGCACAGTGCCTGAAAATCTCCTTTGGCATAAGAATCACTAAGACAGTCAAAATCACATTCCCAGGGCTGGAGAGATGGCCCAGCAGGTGAGAGCATTTGCTGCTCTTGCAGAGGCCTCCAGTTCAGTTCCCAGCACCTACATCAGATGGCCCACTACTGCATATAACTCCCGGTTCAAGGGATAGGACAGCCTTTTGTGACCTCTACGGATACCTGCATTCATGCGCACATACCACCCCCTCAACACATACACACTTAAAATCAAAACCCAAATCTTTTCCAAAATCATGTTCATATTCACAAAATTCCATCTCCTGGCCATCAGCTATACTTTGTGGGGGAGGAGGGGGGTGACAGTTGATGTGTGCTGAAATGGAAGTGTCCAGAATAAAAACGGAACTGGAGGGAGGGGTGGACAGTTACAGAGCACTTCTCTGGGATAATTTTGGAAAAACTATTCCAGAGATAAGCCATTTATGGCTAGATAATATTTCAGGAGGATACAACGGTGGCATCTTCCAGACAGTGGCCCTGGGAGGGAGATGTGTAAATCTCTCATGTCTCTGAGATGCTCCATGCACCAAGTTTCTTTTTAAATCCATCTGTATCTCGGAGAAAGCACTCAGGACCGTTCCCCACGTTACACTTGGGAGAAAGGAATGTGCAGACAGGAGTTCTTTCTTTTCTTCTCTCATTCAATAGGTTTGACTGTTGCTTTGCCCCTCCTGGCTCTGGTTGGGAACTAAATACCTGTGAGGGGAGCAGAGCGCAGACATGCAGGCGTGCAGATGGCATGTTGGCTGTTACTTTCCACAGTGGCAGTGGCCTTCCTCTGCCACCAAAGCAGTTAGGTCATCACCTGTTACCAGGCGCCTTTCCACCCTCAGCTATGAGACACGTGCCGTGCCCCCTTCAAAGTGCCCGCCAGAGCACAGCCCGCTCTCTCGTCTGGCTCTCTTGCCTCTCGATCCTCTCCCGCCTCTCTTCTTCCTCTTGTCTCTGTGTCTGCCTGCGTCTCTCCTGTCCCCACTCCGACATGGCCTGTCACCCTTTCACTCTCCCCCTCCCCCAATAAACCTCTTGCACTAACTCTGATGAGCATGGCGTGTTTGTTTAGTGGCACACCTCGGCAGGGCCCACCAAAAGGTACCCACTTCGCCTTTCTTTTTTTATTTATCATTACATTAGCCATGTTGAAAGTTCCAGGGAAGTGGTAGTCCAAGAGTCCTGGCTCAGTGCTCTGGCTGCCCCACAGAGGATGCCCTGAGGGACAAGGCACAGAGAGACTAATGAGGAGCTCATGGCAGCGGCCGTGAGGAAGAGGACTCTGAATGTTTTGGAAAGGGCGTACCAGAATATCTTCCTGATATCTGAGCTGAGCAAAGAATGGAGTAAACAGGTTGCAGTGTGTTGAGAAAAGAAAAAAAAAATGCCAGGAAGGCATACACGGGAAGGGAAGAGGGGAAAGGGCTCCGTTTTTGTTGGTGTCATTTGGAGACTGTCTCTTGTCGTGCAGCTCAGGCTGGCATCGCAGGGCTGTACCACTACGCTGAGCTTGAGGATTCAACTTTGGACACAGGAAAGGAGAAACAGGGGAAAGGGACTGAGTCGCTTTCCAGAGAAAGTCAAGGCTAGAGATGTGCAGTTGGGTCACACTAAACCATGTATTTGAAAACTATTTCTATAACATTGTCTCACTGGTGTACAGAAAAAAATTAACTATCTTTATAATCTAACCAAGATCATCTCCTCCTCTTCTTCCTTCCCACTCTCTTCTTGTCCCTTTCTTTCCTCCCTTCCCTTCCCCTTTCCTTCCTTTCTTCCTTTTTTTTTTTTTTTTAACACAGGACTCTTGTATCTCTGGCCTCGAACTCACTAGGTAGTCAAGGATTACTCTGAATTTCTGATCCTCCTGCTTCTGCCTCTGTGCACTAGGATCATTGGTGTGAGCTACCTTGTGCAGTGTTAGGGATCAAACTCAGGACCTTGTACATTCTAGCCAAGTACCTTACCAACTAGGCCACAGCCCCAAACCAAGATCTTCAGGCTGCTACGCAGTAGAGCAGGGCTGGCATTCCATTTCTGCATCAGGAACGCAAGACATACGTGACCCTGGTTTTTGTGAAGGTGTTGAAAAAATCCAACCCTAGCACTAGAGCTAACTGCATCCACACAGGAACAAGCCCCTAAGGAGCTGTGTGAGTCTTACAGATCTGAGCTTCATGAATCTAAATAGCCAAGGGTCAGAGTCCCCCAGAGCACTGCCAGGCACTGGGACATCTAAGAAAAACATTACATTAATGATCATAACATCCTCAGATGACAATATCCACTTGTCAGGCAGGCAGGTGACTTGTTGAAATGTTGTGCTGTCAACTAGACGCGAGACTTTAGGACATCGGGAACACAGTGGTCAGGCCATACTATCCAGAAGAGCAGCCATTTGCACAAGACCAGGGGTCTCCCATGGAGTCTTCTTATGTGACAGGAATGGAATGCTTTACCATCAACAGGGTTTCCTACTGGCTGTTCTGATAGTCTAGTCAAGCGTAGGTCTTCAGGGCTGGGAGAGAGCTCAGCTGGTAAAACACTGGCTGTGTCAGCACCAAGACCGGCGTTCCACCAGCCGGGCGTGGTGGTATATGTCACCCAGTGCCAGGGAGGCAGAGACAGTGACCCCGGAGACTGGTTGACCAGCCAAGCTAGCTGAAGTGGAGGCCCCCAGGATCAGTGAGAGACCTTGTCCTAAGAAATAAGTTGAGAGCAACTGAAGAAGACATCTGATACCAACCTGTGGCCTCTGTGTGCACAGACACAAAGAGGGACACGTGCACATAGTAGGTCTTCAGGTCACCTGAACTGGTCTGCTTTTCACTGCTATGTTTTCTTGGGGAGGGGGTACTGGGAGTTGAACCCATGGCTTCATGTTGTAAGCAAGCACTCAACTCTCTTTTTATATAGTATTTGAGACAGGATCTCAGAAAGTTTCAAGGCTGACCTTGAACCTGAGATCCTTCTGCCTCACCTTCCCAAGTAGCTGGGATTAAAGGTAACACACAATTCTCTGTAGCCATTGTGGACTACAGCAGAAAATTGAACTGTATGGGGAGTCAGAGGCAAGATATCAATCATCATGAGCTACTAGGAAAGCCCTGTTCACAGCTAGGAAGTAAGCAAGCATAAGGAATCACTTAACAACCTGGCTTTGGCCACACTTGGCTTTGGTTGTGCATACATCTCTCTTCTAACAATGAACTTGGCAACCTAAGACTCTTGTCTGCAAGTGCTATGCACACACATCCCTAAGAATAATGCACTCGGCAACCTATTAGCAACCTAGGACCCCCTCCCCACCCCGCCCCACACCTGCATGGAGCTGTAGGCACACCCATCTCTGAACAATGAACTCAGTTTCTCACCTTCTTAACAACTATCCCAGTAGGAGGATAGGTGCTGTGGAATAATGCTTTTGTACACTGGTTTAATAAAATGCTGATTGGCCAGTAGCCAGGCAGGAAGTATAGGTGGGATAAGCAGACAAGGAGAATTCTGGGAAGAGGAAGGCTGAGTGAGGAGATGCCAGCCTGCTGTCCAGGGAGCAGCATGTAATGACACACAGGTAAAGCCACGGAAAATGTGGCAATATATAGATTAACAGAAATGGGCTGAATGTAAGTGTAAGAGCTAGTCAGTGGCAGGCCTGAGCTAATGGCTGAGCAGTTTTAATTAATACAAGCTTCTGTGTGTTTATTTGGGACCAAGCAGCTGTAGGACATGGGTGGAAGAGATTCTGCAGGACTGGGTGGGACACAGAAAAACTTTCAGCTACAGATAGGAGTACTGATCAGGCCTAGATTGGTTTTAGATGCATGTACAATAAAGCAAACTGTGTCCTCAAAATGAACTTTTAAGGGAGAATCCCCTATTTTCCATCTTATGCCTATGCATAATCTGGTATGCATATGATTAACATCAGATGCATTATGGGAAGGGAATGAGAGAAATGGTTACATAACTTAAAATCTGTCAGTTGAAATAGAGAACCACACAAACCATATTCTTAGTAACCAAATTCCTCCTCTTGAACCCCATGAAAGAAACCCCAAGACGGCAATCAGGGCCCTTGAGTACCCTCACTCGTGTTGTCCGTTGTCATTCTTGAAAACATATTTTCTGACCTGTACTACTGCTTCTCTGCTTTTCTGTGGAGAGAGTATCCTTGCTATTTCCATAAATCTGTGTCTACTCACTGCAGGGCTCAGAATAAGACACCAAGAACCTGGAGACACCTGACCCAGATCCTGTCCACTGGTGCCAAAAGGACCGACGATATGCCCAGGAAGACTGTGTCACCGACCTCATGCTAAATTCATACTGTGTCCCACTGGCAGCAGGACCATCCTGGTCTGCACACATTGTCTGCTCCAACTTTCCCAGACCTCGGCAGGAGGCAGAAGGAAGCAGCACATGGCTGCCACCCCTCCATCAGCTGGGCATGCACAGTGCCTCCAAGAGCAGCCTGCCTGGTTCTCTGCTCTCCCACTATAAATGACTGAAAATCTTGACCGACGTCCTTCCTGCTCTTGAGTTTTAGAGGCAAAAGAACGTTTCCAAGGAGGCAGGGCAATCCGCCCTCAGCTCTGTTACCTTGGCCTCTTTTGGGCTACACACTGGAAAGTGAAACCAGACAGGAGCCCTTTGGGGCTGTGGAGTTTATGCATGAGCCTGGATACATTTAGTCTCTGCATGCCATCAAGGCTAGCAAGACGAATCAATTGGGCACCGTGCATTCCCAATGAGCAGAGAGAATAGGCTCCCAAGAGGGCTTCTGGACAGGAATGTAAATGTCATGTAAATAGAATCAGCCTGGCCCTTGCTCATCCATGACTCAGCAGAGGCTGGCAGAACTGCCTGGGGCTTTGAGAGATGCCAGGATGGATATGCTATGCTCCTCTCCTCCCATCGTGAACTATGGAAGGCAAAGGAAAAAGAAAGGAGGGGGGAAAATTCTGCTTAAAAATTCACCGAGCCCAAAAGCTTTCCAGGTAAGGCATTCTGAACATGGAGGAGCAGTTACCCAGACTCAAAAGGATTTTTAGGAATGGAACTGCTAATTAGAATCCAGAATCTGTGAAATCATACTGCAGGTTCGGACCACTGCTAATGGATCCCCAGCATGCCTAGCTGTGAAGTCACATCCCTGTCCTCTCTCTAGAGGCATGATGCGCCCCTCCCCACCGCTTGCTCTCCCAGTTAACTGTGCAGTTCAGAGGCTCACGGTCACCTCAGCTGATGATTTGAGTGGTTCACAATGCCTGTAACTGAGGAAGGCTGCCAGGATGACAAAGAAACAGCCTATCTGTTTCCTCCGTCCTCGGCTCTGCAACCCAGCCTTCCTCTCCCACCCTGCAGCCTGTTGTAACTCTGACACCAACAGGCTGGGCAAGAGCTGTTCAGAAGGTTTAGAAACCCCCACCATATCGCATGTCCCCAGCCCACCCCTCTGAGTATGACACGCTGGCACGCTGGCACACCACCTGCTTTGCCCCTGCAGGCATGTGGCTTATGATAAGAACCCACCCCAGGAAAGATGGACACCACAGCATCTGGAGCTCAAATCCTCCAGAAAGGTGTCCCATGTGGGTTTACATCAGCACGCTCCAGTGGGGACTTGGACTCAACACGCATCGTCTACTACGTGTGTCCTGGCAGCATGCTTAATGGAGTCAAGTGAGACACCACCCTCCCTCTTCTGTGTTATTGGTTGCAAGCTTTTCCTTTCAGCCACACTCAGCATTGTGCCTTTGACTGCAAATGAAAACACACACCAGTCAGAGTTTGGCTGGGGGATTCCTGCAGCCTCTTTGGATGCCTTGATAAATTCTAATTTGAAACAACAGCTTTTGTTTGTTAGGGAGCCCCACAGAGCATTGTGAATTCGGCTTCCTGTCTTGGACCCACTGTGATACTCAAATCCAAGTGCTACTTCATGGAGAGCTTAAAGACACATTCTGTATGTTATTCTTGCTCAGTGACACAGAACGTGGCCTGGATTTCTGAGGTAAACTGAGGTAAATATGTGCTGTGGTGTAGATGTTATCTAAGAAGGGGCTGATTTCAAACCTAACCCGGTACTTCCTGCCCCTAGCGGTATGGTACTCACTTGAAATGTCCGGGACAGGCTCAGTCGCTTGAACACTTGGTGCGGCTGGTAGTGCTCTTTGGTGGGCTTGTGGAACTTGAAGTGGTAGCTCCTGACTGGTGTAAGTGGGTCACTGGAGATGAGCCTTGAGGGTCTTAATTCTGGTCCCCTGCCCCTTACTTCTGGCCCGAGCTCTCTGTTTCCTGAGCCACTAAAGACGTAAGAAGCCTCGCCACAAACTCCCACCACCATGGGTGATATCACCAGCTACCATGCCTTCCCACCATGATAGTTTGGATCATGAGTCATGTTCTGCTCAGCTGTCCCAACCCCTCCATGTCCCAGCAGACCTGGGACCACCCCCTCCCCCACCAGGCTTTGGCTCTGGTAACAATCACTGTCTTATTTCATAGACAACATGTGCCCTAGAAGAGTTCAAGTCTGTGATCTTTTAACATGTGACCTCCTTCTCCTTCTGCTTCCTGGGGCAACTGTGCAGTAATAGCTTACATCCCGGAGTTGGAAGAGGCAGGGAACTGTGCAGAACAGAACGTTTTTTAAAAATGTAGAAATAGTAGCAGAAGCCACTCAAGGAACAGCCTGCTGAGTTAATAAGCAAGGGTAAAAATGCAAAGTTATCACTTAGCATGCTGCCTCCATTATTAGCCATACATCTGAATACTTCTGAAGAAGAACAATCTTCGGCTGTTCAAAGCTACTTAAACCTATGCATAGAGATAAAGTAAAACAGAAACTAAGGTTCTAAAAAGTCAGGCAGTGAGAAGCAAAGACCAAAATACCTAAACTTCCCACAAACCCTTAAAAGTCAGGGTACTGAACAGAGTAATAGACAAGGAGGTGACTGCAGTTACAAAGGGCCACTGTGACTGAATAACTGAGGGATTCAGGCTAAGTATGCCTTTCCCCGTCTATGTCCCTGTGTAACTTCTTAACTGACGCCTTGCTGGGACCTAGAATCACCTGAGAAGGGACCTCAGTTGAAGAATTGTCTACATCAGGTTGCCCTGTGGGGGGCTGTCTTGATTGTTAATTGAAATAGGAGGATCCAGCCCACTGTGGGTGGCACCTTTCCCTAGGCTAGACCCTGAGCTGTACAAGAAAGGAGAAAGTTAGCTGGGTGAGCAAGCAGGCAGTATGGGTGCATTTGTTTCTCTCTGCTCTTAACTGTGGACATGATGTGACTGGACTAGCCACTTGGGTTCCTATTTTGACTTCCCCCAGTGATGAAATTTAATCCGGAAGTATAAGCCAATTAAACCGTTTAAAGTGTAAGCCAAATAAAATCTAAGCTGCTTGTGTGTGTGTGTGTGTGTGTGTGTGTGTGTGTGTGTGTGTGTGTGTGTGTAGGGGGTGTGTGGTTTGAAACAAAGTTTCTCTGTGTAACAGTCTTGATTGTCCTTGAACTCACTATGTAGACCAGACTGACCTTGAACTCACAGAGATCCGCCTGCCTCTGCCTCCAGAGTGCTGGGATTAAAGGCATGCGCCACCACCGCCTGGCTAAACCCAAATTGCTTTTGGTCAGGGTGCTTTATTACAGCAACTAGAAATGAAGCTGGGACAGAACCCACTCACACTCTTCCAAAGAGCTCACCAGTGACAAATAGCATGCATCCAACACCAGGGACGTGTGCTTCCCATTGTTAGAAATTAGGTGCTCCACCAGCCTGCCCTTCAGGGACTAGGTACCAGCAGACACTGAACACCATCACCCACCTCCAACAGGTACAGTGCATTTCCACTGTCACTACAAGTTGTATATTTTCCCTATGCAACACGTGTGCTCTTTGGAAGGTCCCTCCCGACATCACGGACCTCTCTTGTTCTTTCTGTCTTCCAGTCTCTCTCTCATGTCCCCACTCCAAGATGGCCTTTTGCCTCCCCTGCTCCAATAAACCTCTTGCGTGAGATCTGTTGTACCGGGTGATCTCTTCGCAGCATGCCTTGGCCTGAACCCACCAAGGTACTCTGCCGCTCAACCCTAGCACTGGTTTCGTCAATAAATCTCAACACCCATTGCATACACAGTTGACCCACGTGTCCTCTGGCCACTTGACTAGGGCAGCTAGCTTTGATGTAGGTTGTCTGTAGTCATGGCACTAGGATACCAAGTTTGGTGCAAGAAAATATAATTATCCGCACCAAGGAGGACTATGTGAAGCTAAATCATGAGTATATGTTAGACATCAGAAAGAAGGTACCTGCAGTAGTATTAGTTTGATACCCTACTATCTATGACATACAGAAGGCAGGACAAAGAAGGCTTTAGATCTCTTGGTATTGAAAAGGACCTTAGGGAGGTGAGCCAGCAAAATTGCTTTGGTTCTTTCTGGCTGTTCCTCTATGGCCACACAGACTCATCTTGGAGCCCGTCAAAACCTCTATTTTGCCTTGGTTTTGGCTGTGTGCCTATCTGAGCTCTGTGGTGAACACTTAGCAGCTGGGCTTAATAATTGAAAATATCGGATTGTTTACAAAAACTAGAGGAGAGATGCTCCATACAGGATCAACTCAGATCCAAGACGTGCTGAATTACAGGTAACAGTGGCATCGACTCACTCCATCTGTGGAGCCATGGGGAAGTGGTACGCATTTTTAGACTTTCTTCTGCAAAGTAACTTCTGAAAAATGGAAAGGATATGAAAGACAGCTTCATCGTGACTGTGGATCGCCCTATGAAGTTGATCTTCGAGGTGCAGGAGCCTCGTGCCTATGGCTTCACATTTTTCTCCAACTTCAGCAGAGATGATGTGAGATTCCTGGTCAGAGAATGAGAAAAGGATCCTGAGTCAGCTTTGGGATGCTGAAGGCTATGTGTACAGTCAGGACACGTGGACAGCTCTCCTGGTTTCTGCGCCTCAGTGGGAACCCTGCGGGAGGCACCATTTCCCTGGGAGGTTGTTCTTGAGAACAAAGGAGCCAAGTTCAAGTCAAAACTGAAGGATAAGCTGTGTACACATAGGTCCTGCCTTACCTGGTCTGTTTAAAGCTTGACTTTAGCATGGAGATTCCCCAGATGGATTTATCCAAGGAAGCCCGAGTTTTCCAGCTGAATTCTCAGACAATTCACAACATGATAGAAATGGTAGCAAAAGGGGCAGAGGTGTCACCAAGGGAACTGGAACTGGGCTAACAAATAAGGACGGAGGGATGTCTTTAAGGGCACAGGAATTTAACAGGGTGCTGAGCATTCATCTGCAAACCAGACTTAGCCCCTGAAAGCCAGACTCTGGAGGAGATTTATTTGTTTACTTATTTATTTACTTGTATTTATTCATTCACTCTTATATGTGTATGTGTATGAGAGTATACATGCTCATGTGTATATAGAGACATATGCATGTGGGAAGTATGCATACTCATGTGTGTCCACATGTATGGATGCAGAGGACAAGCCTCAGCTATCATTCCTCAAGTGCCATCTACCCTGTTTTTTTGTTTGCTTGTTTGTTTGGTTTGGTTTGGGTTTTTTTGAGGCAGAGGGTTGGCCTGGAGATCACTGACTAGGCCAGGCTGGCTACTCAGAAAGCCCTGGGGAGTCACCAATCTCTACTTCCCCAGCTCTGGGAGTATAAGCATGTGCTACCACAGGACTTTTTATGTGAGTCCACCCCATTAGGGCAGAGGTGATGGTGTCTGGCATAGTTCCAGGTCCCCCACCAGGCATCAGACATGTGATAAGCATGGTTTAGTGGACATGGTTTAGTTGAAGCCCCCAACCCTGTAGCATTTCCCTTTCCAATGTGCATCCCAGACACAAGCAGATGTCACCTCTGTCACTCTTGTGCACAGAAGCACTACACAGTACAGTCTAGGGGTTGCTGTGGCACCAACTGTTCTAAAGGCACTTCAGCTGTCCCCCTGACTCCCTCACAAACTGACCTTGGCCAGACAGGTAGCTTGAGCTACCACCTCCTCTCCCTGTTCTTCCTAAGAGGACATGCTCCTCCCCCTCCTCTAAATCCCATTCTTCCTTCAAGGTCCCACACAAGCCCACCTTGTGGAGCATCAGTGAAGACATGAGTTATGTCCCCTAAGAGCTGTGAACTCACTCACACAAGGGCCATTGGCTGGCCATTCATCCCAGGGCCCCATGAGTAACACCTGACCTACAGAAGGCCACAGAGTCTTAAAAATAATTAACAAGGTCAAGAAAATGAGGACAGAAAGTAGGGAATCCTAGAATAAAGAAGAAAATAAGGAAAAACAGCTCAGAATTAAGATTCAACCACAATATGAAGGCAATATTCTCTCAGCTAAGTGTGAAAGACTTAGAAAGCCTATTAAAAGAGTTTTGCAAAGGAATTAAGGTTTTTTATTCAGATTAAAGGGCCAGGCTACTACAAAAACTGCAGCTAATATCTAACTATCACATAAAAGTGGTCAGGCCTGGCGGCACTGTGCCAAGTCCTTAGAGATCCCACAAAACGTGTTAGCATCAGAACCCAGGAATACTAATCGAATCCAGATACTTGCCTTAACATTTGCTCCATTTGTTCACTCTGCAACACTTCACAACTTACGTGCCCGATGACTGACAACTCTTTAATAAAACAGTGCTGGTGGAAACTATAAATAACTAATGCAAACACTGGAGAAACCTCACGTAATGCAAGCATTTACCCATACAAAAGAAAGAAAGGAAATTCCCAGACAACGTGGAAGATGCACGGATACCACGAGGGTTGGAATGTGAGGCCCCAGGGATGGCTTGCTTGGCTTTAATCACAGCACTAAGGACAGGATACATGAAAACAATAGCTAGCCATGTGTTTTATTGATCTTAAACGTCATGGTGTCGTCACTCAGGCAAAGAGGAGAGGGCTTAACACAGTGAGGATGGAAGCCATAACTAACAAACACCACAGTCATCCCCAAAGTCAATGAGAAGGCGGGGACATCTGCAGAGCAGTGATTGACAGTGGCCAGACCACCAATCAATAACACATGAAAGAGAAAAATAAATGCTGTGGGATGGTCTGTATGTCAAATGTGTTGCTGATTGGTCAATGAATAAATCACTGATTGGCCAGTGGCCAGGCAGGAAGTATAGGCGGGACTAACAGGGAGGAGAACTGAGAGAACAGGAAGCTGGGTGAGGGAGACACTGTCAGCCGCCATGATGACAAACAGCATTTAAAGATGCCGGTAAGCCACGAGCCATGTGGCAAGGTATAGATTAATGGAAATGGATTAATTTAAGCTGTAAGAACAGTTAGCAAGAAGCCTGCCATGGCCATACAGTTTGTAAGCAATATAAGTCTCTGTGTTTACTTGGTCGGGTCTGAGTGGCTGTGGGACTGGCTGGTGAGAGAGATTTGTCCTGACTGTGGGCCAGGCAGGAAAACTCTAGCTACAAATAAATAAATAAATAAATCGTGACTGCCAATGGGAAAAGAAGGAACTCAACACTGAGCAAACCAAACCCAACAGCTCAATCTTCATCCAAAAGGACCAACGCATGGGAAGCAAAAGTCAAGCTGAACAAACTAAGAATACATCTCTCCACTTCCCCCAAACAGGCCATCTCCGAAAACTTCGTGCAGACTGACAGTACAGGTGTGAACCTGAGCAACCTCAGACCGCACAGCAAGCCCTCTAGGTTGTCCCCGTCCTGTGACTCAGTAATTCCACCTCCCGGAATCTACCACACAGAAGCAATTTACATATTCAAATTGGAGTTATTTCTATGAAGACTTCGTAATAAGCATGGAAAAAAATCATACAGGTGTGTGCACATGCCAAGTAGAAATGTAAGATTTGAGCCGGGCGGTGGTGGCGCACGCCTTTAATCCCAGCACTCGGGAGGCAGAGCCAGGCGGATCTCTATGAGTTCGAGGCCAGCCTGGGCTACCAAGTGAGTTCCAGGAAAAGGCGCAAAGCTACACAGAGAAACCCTGTCTCGAAAAACCAAAAAAAAAAAAAAAAAGAAATGTAAGATTTGAATCACACCAAGACAAAAGTACTATGAGCCCAGCAAAGTGGGGGAAACAGCCCAGGTATAGCGAGAATGGTTAGAGGCAGGCGGGGTGTGTGTGTGTGTGTGTGTGTGTGTGTGTGTGTGTGTGTGTGAAGCACAGGTCATTTCCAGGTAAAATCCCCCAAAAGACATGCAACAGTGAGTCCAACATACTTGATTATGGTCCTCACTCCCTCTGGCTTTGGGAGAAATGGCCATTTGGTGAACACTCAGCCTGACAAGAGATTTACATTGTGAGAGGCAGGAGAAAGAAACATGGCCACTGTTTCCCATCCTTCACACCCACCTAGGTACATGCTGGCTGCCTGGAAGGGAGGATTAGGGTGGTGTCCTGCCTCACTGGTGGTGCCCTCCTGGCGCTGAGTGTGTGTGCTGCTGCTTACCTGGGAGAGCATGGTCTCTTGGGAAGTGTGGTGCCCCCGACACCAGGGCTGGCTCCTCCCTGCTCTAACAGTAGCTCACCTGAAGCTGTTCTCTCCAGCTCATGGGCTTCAGGATCTGCACCCCCTGGGGGTATCCCAGCAGAAAAGAAAGGGGCTTTCTGAGAACCACATACCAGTTTCTTCTTTTATGCATTTCATTGTTGTTGTTAAGAATTTATCTATAGTTAAGAATAAAGAATACAGAAGATATAAAGACTTTGTCTCCTTCCCTTAAAATAAAGGAAACTTTTTTTCAAGTAAGTTGTCCTTCAAGAAAACCCTGGAAACACTGAAAATCCTGCGTAAGCCAAAATGGTGAATTGTAAGATGCATGCATTGGCTGGAGGTCCCACATGGGGATCTAACTGCCTGAGGCACAAGCCCTCTGAGACTGTTAAAGTGTAGACATCAACAGACAGCTGGCATAGGCAGAGGGTTTCAGGGCATCCTGGGCTTCCCCGAGAGCATTCCAGCCGGTAGGGGCTCAGGAACCACCTAGCATCGTTCCTTCTTTTCCATCCAAGGAAAATGTCTCAAAGTACCAGATGACCTGGGCACCAAGACCAGTCTCTCCTGTTTCATCTCAGGGCAACACAGAGTCGCTCTGAGTTCCCCCTGAAGGACTCAGCTCCTAGGAAGGGAGAAGGCGGGTACTCTCTCCAGGGCCAGAGCCTATATGGACCAGAAATGACAATGTTTACGATGACCGTGTTGAGTCCAGCACCTCTGCTGTGTCCGTAATGCCTCAGAAGCCAAGAAAACCTGTATGATTGATACTTGATAACTAAGAATTATCACCACACCCCTCCTACCCCTCTCAGAATTCTTGGCTGAGTTGGACTTTCTCAGCATCAGCGTTTCTGAAGATAATTTAGTGTGAGTTGTATCAAAGCATCTTTGAAAACTGTCCTGTAAGCCCTCCTGTAATTTGCTCCTTGAGCAATCTTTTCAGCAATTCAAATTGTTTTTTCTTTTTCTTTTCTAGACACCCATCTGCCATTCACCCAGAGGAGTGACTGTTTTTCCCTGTGGGTCAGAATGAACAAGTCTCTGCAGAGGGAAACAGCATCATGGCCCAGCTCTGCCCCTTCTGGGCCTGGCTCACACCCCAGTTCTCAGACCCTTGTAATTCCTCTTCAAGGAATGCCTCCATGAGGAAGCTCTGCCCACACAAACTCCAGTTATTGGCTGTCTACCTCCTCCAGGCTGCAACAGGCCAGTGTCCTGACATCTCTGCTGACCCTTGCCTCCCTCAAAGGAGGTCCCAGAGGACGCTGTTGAGCCCTTCCGCTGTCAGGTGCGACCTTCCACTATGGGGTGCTAACCGTTAAGGTTGTTGTGGGGAGACTGGGCCCCCAGGGCAGTGGTACACAGTGGGGCCTGATAGGAGGTGACTGAGCCACCAGGTTCTGCCCTCAGAAGGGACTGAAGCCAGTGTCTGAGTTACTCTACAGTAGCTGAAGTTTTCCTGTGTCCCACCTGGCCCATGGTCAGGACAAATCTCTCTCACCTGTCAGTCCTGCAGCCGCTTGGACCCAAGTAAACACACAGAGCCTTATATTAATTAAAACTGCTTGGCCATTAGCTCAGGATTATTAGTGATTAGCTCTTACACTTAAATTAACCCATAATTTTTATTTGTGTTTAGCCATGTGGCTTGGTACCTTTTCTCAGTTCTGCCTTCACACCTCGCTTCCTCTGTGTCTGGCTGGCAACTCCTGACTCAGCCTTCCTATTCCCAGAATTCTCTTCTCTGCTTGTCCCGCCTATACTTCCTGCCTGGCTACTGGCCAATCAGCATTTTATTTATTAACCAATCAGAGCAACACATTCACAGCATACAGAGCGATATCCACAGCAACTCTACTACTGGGAAGAATGTTTTAAAAGAACAAGCCTGAGACTCTCTGGCTTCCTGTCTCACCCTGTGATTTGTTCTGCATGACATAACGCCTCTTACTTTGAACTGACAGAGCCACAGCGTCCCTCACCAGAGGCCAAACAATGGGGCTGTCTGACCCTGCACTTTTAGACTCACTGTGAACTAAATAGACCTTCCTTCTTTATAAAGTGCCCAGCCTTAGGCACTTGGTGACAGTAATGGAATATAAGCTAATGCAGAAACTCCAGAAGAAGATTCATTGCATCTTAGACTGCACTAGCCAGACAATGCTCTCAAGATGGTGGGCAGAGGCAGAGAGAGAGAGAGAAAGAGAGGGAGAGAGAGAGAGAGAGAGAGAGAGAGAGAGAGGGAGCCTTTTCTAAACATTAAATGCCTGTCCAAGTCTCACTCAGTACAGACCATAATAACCTGTCTGGGGTAATCCCTCTGCCTCTGGGGCAACTGCTGGCCTTGAATGACAACAACAGCATTTTATGAACACACGAATGTGCCCATGCACACCTACACGCACATATGTGTTGAAAATGGAATCTGTCTCTAGGAGGGGTCAGGTCCTTGTCTCCTACTTAGGGTTAATCCTGTGGGGCAGGTCAGGGGCCTGGCTGGTAGCCATCCCGTGGAAGGCAGGTTCACCTTAAGATAATGTACATTTTCCTTCCCAGAATTCCTGTCCCCTCATGCAGCATCCTTGAGGTTCCATTGGGTCCTAGGCCTTTCTGAGTTGAGCTCTTCTGCTTTTCCTCTTTTTCTTACAGATGCTGTCCATGCTCACTTCTCTTCTCCGTTCTCCTCCCTACAAGATTTATAGCTTGCCTGCCCTGGGGTTTCATTTTAAATGCTAATGAATTATCCCAAGGCTTCCATTTGATAGCATTCTTTGTCCCTAAGCCTTCTGTCTCAATTTTTTTATTAATGAGACTAAGAACCCCAAGACACAACCCTAATTTTTCCAGTATTATATGATGGCTTTTCTGTGATATCTATGGTGTCTGGTAAACACCTTGTAATTCTTTAATCAGAAGGGAAAACGATCCCTTTCTTGCACTCCTAGACAGCATCATGGGACACATGCATATACACATATACGCACATGCACACACACATACACGCATACACATGCACACACACACATTTTATTGACCTCAGAGGATGCCCTGTAACCTTATAGACAGTCCCTTCATGGGTACAGGTTAGTAGAGCCAATATCATTTCAAACATCATTTGCAAGTCACCTTGTGATCAAACCTACAGGCTTAAATGCCCATGATAGACTTTTTTCAGCTATATTGAGTTAGAGCTGATGTCAGATTTCTGTCCAGCTCTCCCAGCTCAAGGAGCCTGTTTAAAACAGAAAACAGGATTCCCTTTGATCAGCAGAATGTTCTCAAGACAACTTTCTGGAACCACAGACCTAAATCGTGCAACTTAGATCCAATGGCTGGCATGATACTAACCCACATGCATGGCGGGACCATCACACACTTCACGGCCAACATCTCTGAGGGCTTTTTTACTTAGTTACATTTCTTGTAAGGATGGTTAAGTCCTTGGATAGGACATTTGGGAAACACCAACATGTAGAAGTTCTGAACTGGAGTTCATATTCCAATGTCAGAGAATAATAATGGTTGCTTTGATGAGCATTTGGTAATAGTGTCAGGCTGTATTTACAGCAAGAGAAAGTCCTGTGATTATTGTCATTCTGAAAATAGGAAGCCCATTGAAATCATTGCTGGGGGGCGCGCCCCATGCCTGCCGGTAGGAAAGGTCCCACACTCCCAGAATGCATGGTTTTGGAAATGTCGTCATCGGTGGAGATCCACTGCAGACTCATGAAGAACAGGTCAGCCCTTTGGTTACACACCGGACTGACATTGTTTAAATAGCTACTGTCTCAAATTGTTCTCAAAAGCCATTCTAAAGGAAGAGGCAGGATGAGGCACTGGAGTGACACAACTGAACAAGAAAAGTCATGTAACTAAATAATAAAGCAACTGTGACAAGGACTTGACAGGTCTAGGTTCGTACAGGAAGTATGCTTGTGGTGACAGATTGTGTACCCTAACAAAATTTGCCTGAAGATCAGAGAACGGAACAAGCCTCTAGATTAAACACAGAGGCCAGGCAGTGGTGGCACACACACCTTTAATCCTAGCACTCAGGAGGCAGAGATCCATCTAGAACTCTGTGAGTTCAAAGCCACCCTGAACTACATGAGATTGACTCAGTCTAGGAGAGGAAACAGAGCCAGGAAGAGTTGGCACACACCTTTAATCCCAGTACTGGGAATCACACACGCCTTTAATCCCAGGAAGTGATGGCTGGGCAGAGAAAGGCGTGAGGAGACAGGAACTAAAGGCTTTTCAGCAGAAGTGTCTCTTTCAGCTAGAGGCTTTTTCATCTGGAGCCTTTCCAGTGAGGACTCAGAGATATTCAGTCAGAGGATTCGTGGCGTTGGCGAGGTGAGTTGTGGCTTGTTCCTTTGCCTCTCTGATCTTTCAGCATTTACCCCAGTATCTGGCCCCGGGTTTTTATTATAAGATCATTTAGGAATTCATGTTATGTATGCTGACCTGGGACTAGGTTCCAAAGCCACTGAGAGCCTCCATTGTTGTTGGGGTAGGGGTGGGGCACAGGTGACAGACCACAATCTCCTGCCTGAGCCGCCATCTTGGTTATTGTCCTCTGCCATAACTCTGGTCGATGCACCCAGGCCCCTATTTTCCTCACCCATGTGATAAGGCATCTGAAATAGCCAACCATCACAGAAAACACCTTCCTATAGTGAAAGTCACAGGCTACACAGTCAGGGAAAGACAGGTGACTGAGCAGTCTTCTACAGTAGCTGCCAAGCCATCAGCATTTAGGGACTGCTAAGATATGATACTATCCAAAACCCTGCACTGCACACACACACACACACACACACACACACACACACACACACACACACACACTTACAAACCTCAAAATTCGACTTGAGCCCCAGGATGTCTGCTTTGTTGCTAAGCCTCATTCCCTCCCCTACAGCTTGAGGTAAACCAGATGAGACTACCACCGTGGAAGAGCTTAGCAGACGCTAACCCTTCCCTCAGCTCACTATTACCATCAGAGCCTCTGGGCTGTTTTCCAGAATAGTTTCTTTGCAAATGCATTCCAGGAATGCTCTATGATCTGTATCTTCCCTTCAAAAATACAGTCTTCACAAAAAATCATTACCTCAGACAAATGCCTGTCCGTCACACAAAGAGTATCTCTCGCATCTATTTGAAATAGATTCTACGATCAGCTTCACTTTCCACATCCATGCTGAGAGCTATAGTCACTGTGTAAATTCCATTAAGCAGAGAGACACACATTAGGACTCCAAGGGTGCGTCTTTATTATACCAGAGAATAGAAATATTCATCTAAATTCCACATTGTATGGTCACACCCTGAGTGGGTGGGCTTCTCTTTTAAAAGCATCCAGATGTCCGAAGGGGCATAAGGAATCTGAAACATTTAGACCTCTTTAGGTCTGAGCAAGGCGTGAGTTGTCTTCAAGTACGCTATGCTTGTTCAAAGCAGGCTTTGAGAAGCGAGTTCACTGACAAATGTGTTCTGTTTTATTTAGTGTTAAACAGAACCAAGCAACAGAACCAAAACCTTCAATAGCAGAAGAAATAGCCTGACCGCACAGCACAGACGCGCCTGTTTTGTCCAGTGCGCACAAAGAACCAGGGAAACTGCCTTTTGCATGACAGGATTATCCAGGAGGGCTTGGGCTGCCTCCCTTCAGCAGTCTGGGCTTGGACATCAAAGTTGAACCAAGCAGGGGCTGGAGATGCGGCTCAGTTGGCAAAGTGCCTGCTGTACAAACATGAAGACTGAGTTCTGGCCCACTTGCATTGGTGTGCCCTCTCATCCCCGTGCTGGGGAGCCAGAGACCCACGAGTCCCTGGGATCCACCGACCAGCCCGTCCAGCCTACGCGGCAAGTTTCAGGCCAGCGCTTTTTTTTTCTCAAAAAACAATATATATACAGTACCCAAGGAAAGACACCCAAAGTTGACCTCTGGCTTCTGTACACACACACACACACACACACACACGCCAAACAAACAAAGAATCCAATAACTTTTTAAAACCCACAAAAATGAAATAGAGCAGGCTAGATTTCAATAGGATCTTCTGAGGAAAACCTGTCAGCCAATACAATCTACGGCATCAGACAGGGCCTGAATAATCTCCCTTCCGTGAAGATTCAGAGTCTGGAAACAGTGACAGCAAACCACCAGGACCCCTTTGTATAAGAAAGTGCAGACAGGGGCCAGAGAGATGGCTCAGGAGTTAAGAGTGCTTGCTGCTCCCCCAGAGAACCCAAGTTGAGCATTTACATGGAGCAGTTCATAATCACTTATTACTCCAGCTCCAGGGGATCTGACAGATTCTTCTGGCTTCTGTGGACACCCCCGTGTGTGTGGCACACACAGACATACGAGTGAAAATAAGTCTTTTAAGACATTTTTCTAAAAGAAGAAAGTGCAAACAGACCACAGCTTGGGACTCCTCCATGGGAATAAGCCCCTAAGAGAACAAGATCAAATGCCACATGTCACCCATGTGTGCTAGGAGTCCTAAAAACTTGAATTTCTGAGTGGAAAAAAAAAAGACTGTGTGACAATGAGAACATGAGAAGCAACTGTTTTCAGAGACAAGACTTAGCCTGAATTCTGAATGTTGCCATCCCAAAATGTACCTGCCTTTTTCCATAGAGTCATGGACACTTGCAGCTTGTTGGGAGAAGATGGGCACGAGCAGGACCTGCCCCTCTTGAGACACTGCACTATCCCCAGATGGAGAAGAGTGCACAGCCATTTTTATTTCTCATACTGCTGCTGTAGCTTGTCAGCACCCGCCACCCACTTATGTCTGCTTTGCTAGAACAATGTCCCCCTTAAATGCATGAAGAAGGGAAGGACCCCGTGGCTGGGAAAAGAGATGGCCGGTGTAGAAAGACAGAAAGGCATTAAACTATTTGTTGGAAAGGAAGGGGTAGCACTCCTGGGATGGACACAGGATAAAGGTTCAGCCAGGCCTCTTGCCTGTTCCTAGCCTGGATAGTCAGTCCTGGCTTACAAATAGTTTTGGGGGGGGACAAGAAAATCCCATCTTTAACTGTCCTGGTCCTGTTGGGGAATTAGATATGGTCTGGTTGTGATGAAGGATAGACTGTAAGTTCATTTCTAGAAACAGGAAACCCTGGGATAAAAATCTCTCAGCTGCTCGAAGGGCACCGATGTGCGTTTGTTAGTGAAGCCTGTGCCGCCCGTGTGTGAAAGTGTCCCTGCCACCCTGTGGTGACTGTGACCACCCTGCTGTCTATCTATCCCTCAGTCTTCGCCAGCAAATGACAAAGAGTTTCCACGGTGGAAGACTCCAGGAGCCCTGAGGTTGTTTTCTCAGAAGCACTGAGCTATGCTTAATTAATGGAAGAAGTATAGAGATGCCCCCACCCTGGGCCCTGGAGCACAGAGAGCGATTCCACACTTTTCCAAAAGTACAGGAAGCAGGCAGATCAGAGGAATCAACTTCCTTCCCTGGGGCAGGTGAAGGAGGCTGGCAGCAGGCAGGGACTTTAATTAACAGAAAAGGACCAGCAGGAGCCACTCACTGGCTACAGAGGAAGTCCCTCCCCTCCCTTACCCACCTGCTCCCTCCATCACATCCAGGGGCCAAGGCCAGGCTGGAGGGCAGAGAACGTGCATTCTTATTGGATGAATGGTTTCTAAACCTATTTATGCCAATTGTACTTAAAATCCTAATTATATCATTTAAATAGGTTCCATATAAAACAGTGCAACATTAGTGTGAAAACAAAGTTCTTATCTTTATTTATTTTTTAATGAAAAACCTTGGAAAGATACAACAATATTGAATAGATGGAGAGAGGAGACAGAAGATGGCTTTGCAAGTCCCTCCTGAGTGTTCTGCACTTTAAAGATGCCACAATTGGAAACTGTGGATGGCAGCTTGTAGGTAAGCCTTGTGCAAGAAGGCCCCTTGAAAGTCACTTGGCAGACTCCTCCAAAGACCTTAATCCTACACTGTGTGATCGGCAGCTGAAAGTGTGTGTTTTCAGTATCTGGAAAGGTAGGTGCTCCTTGCAGGTGGCCATGGCCCCGCACAGGGGAGGGGATGCTGCCGAGATGGTTCAAGGAGATTCTAAGCCCACAGCACCGCTCCACCCCTGCTCGGCTGGTCTTAAGTCCACCAGTGGTGCTGCAAACGCAGCCCTCTGCCTCTGTCTGCCCTGGGGAGCTCAGGATACTTGTTATAACTGACTCAAGACAGAGGATTTGGTTTAGCTCCTGGGTTCAGACAAACGGTTTTCCAGAAGGTAACATGAACTCCTAACAGAAACATCATTCCCATCTGAGACTCAAAAAATATGGCCTAGTTTTCTGAACTTCTCCCAGGGTCGACCTTTTAGCTCTGCTTTCAGAGTTTCTCCATCCTACACTCACTTCCAAACTCTTCCAAATTCATGTAGCAAACTAGTTCCAAAGTTATTATTATTATTATTATTATTATTATTTTCAAGACAGGGTTTCTGTGTGGAACAGTCCTGGCTGTCCTGGAACTCACTCTGTAGACCAACTCACAGAGAATCACCTGTCTCTGCCTCTCGAGTGCTGGGGTTAAAGGCATGCGCCACCACCACTGCCGGCTTAGCTCCAAAGTTTTAAGAGCCACAGAACCAAGGTTATTCACAGCAATGACCCACTGACTCCCCATATCAATCTCCTGTATTGTGACTTTTCAGCTCTGTGACCAAAGTACCTGTCACACAATGTAAATAGATGAAGGGCTTATTTGAGCTCATTGATTCAAGGATTCAATCCGGGTTGCTTGGCTCCGTGTGCTTGGACAGAGCTTGATGGCCATGGACTTGTAGGAAGAGGACCTTTTCACATTCTTGCATTGTGTCTTAGTATCTTGTTTGCTGTTGTGATAAAAATATGTTGAGAAAAGCAACTAAGGGGAGAGAGGGTTTATTTTACACCCCAGGTCAAGGTTATAGTCCATCATGATGAGGAAGTCTCAGAGGCAGGGGCGTGTGTTGGATGGTCACAGTGCGCCCACAGTCAACAAGCAAAGAACAATGAACGCGTGGTACTTAGGGCTTAGTTCCCTTTTTCTACTTACACAGTCCAGGATTGCAGCCAGGGGTTGGGGTCACCCACTCATGGGTGAGGAAGATAGGGCTGTTAGCATTCAGACCCACTTCTTGGGATCCTGGCCAATAAGCAGATAACACCCTGGCCCACCCGGCGGGTCCTGATGTCATCTCACGTAAAGCCCGCTTTAAGAGAAAACTCCTCCTTCCCATCCTCCTTTCCCTATGCCCACGAGGTGTGCACCTCTGAGCCTCTCTCTCTCTGTGTCTCTCTCTTTCTCTCCGTCTCTCTCTCCCTCCCTCCCTCCCCTTCCTTCTTCCCTCCCTTTCCTCCTCCCTTCCCCCAATAGACTTTCCGCGTGGATGTGTGTCTACATGGCGTGAGTAACTGTCCACTGCTCCACACCACAGCCTACCTCCTTGTCTGCATGGCGTGTCTCCCTCACCCACCAGGGCACCTTGGCCCAACCCACCAAGGCCTCTGGCACACCGTATCACAACAATGATGGTAGGCAAGGAAGACAGGCTGGAAGGGATGGGAGGCTGGCTAGTCACGCTGCATCTCTAGTTAGCAGAGAATCAACAGGAAGTAGAGCCATGAACAGGAAGGACAACACCTCAAGGTTTGTCCCCAGTGACCTCCTTCCTCAAGGAGGCTCAGTCACCTAAGGGTCCAACCTCCCCAAACAGCGCCACCCACCGGGGATGAAATGTTCAAAGCCATGAGCCGACAGGGAACATTTCACACTCAAAGTGCAACAGTCAGGAACTAGAAAGCAGGACAAGGAGGGGCCAGAGGCGACGTACTCCAAAGCCACCCTCACCTCCTCCCGGTGACCCAGTGCTAGTCTGCAGCTTCTCAATATATTGTCACCAGCTGATGACCAAGCCTAACACAAGAACTTTCAGAGGGACATTTCTTGTCCAAACCATAACACTGACCATTTTCCCTCAAACTTTGGCTATAAAAAAAAAAGAAAAAAAAAATCAGAGCTTTCCCTGAGCCCCTGGGCTATTTCTAACGGCTCCTGTGTCTCATAAAACTTTGATTAAATAAATTTGTCACTTTTTCCCCTTGTCAACCCGTCTTCTGTGAGAGGAGTATCGGCCGTGATTCTGTGATGGCCAGGGAAGGGTTCCTCATCTTCCCAGCCCTAATATTTTGAATGCAGCCTCAGAGACAAAGCTGTGGTGTCTGCTTTTGTCTTTATTGCTGATTTCTTTGCTTGCAGAAATCAGTAGCAACTTTCTGGTTGCTAAAGTACGACATGTGATTCCTCCATGATGCCAGCTTCTCTCTGGCTTATTTTAGCTTGCTTGGTGGCAGCTTACGGCTTGGAAAGGCCACAGCTGGGAGGGAGATCAGAGGGAGCCATGCTGTCCAGGGAACTAGGCAGGAGGGGAGCTCATCAGTAGAACAGAGAGCAGCCGGCAGGGGCAGGCCACAGTCAGGAAAGGAAGAATCCCAAAGGTATTGGGGTCAGAACAGCCAGTATGGGCAGCACCCCTTCAGTACAGGAACCTGACATACTGGTTTCCCCAGCTTCTGCCTGGCTCCTGTGTCACCTCTAAATGTCACCTTTAAACCAGGGCCAACATCAGCTAAATGCTCTTCAGGGAACCCTCAGGACACTGGAAAAGAAAAGGCTTTCACAATCTGGGCATGCCCATGCAGCCCTTAGCAGGGCTGGTGACTTCCCCTGAACAAAGCCTCAAGCAAAGGGCTTTGCCTTCACGGACTCCTCTGCAGAATGAAGGTAACTGCATTGAGTAGCCTGGCAGGGACCTTTAGTCACAGGACTGATGTTCCTGAGCAACAAAGCACTCCCTAAACAATGTGCCTCCGAAATGCATATCACTGCGCTGGCCAGATAAGCACAGGAAAAGCTTTGAAACCATCTCCCCGTGGACCTCGGTAAGAAGCCCTCGATTGGTCATGGAAGATTTGGATTGAAAAGCAATTGCCTGCCCCCAGGGTGTCGTGTTTCAATAGGAAAACCAGTGTAGGGGTAGCCTGGCCCAGCAGAGCCTTGCAAAGCTAAACACACCTGGAGCTGCAAAGCAAAGGAACATTTTGCCTCCAGATAAACACATCATCCCCCAGACTTCAGTAGCCCCTGAAAAGAAAGACAGGAAGGCAAAACCACCTTCACCAGGGGACCCCCAACTATTGCACCTCTGAGCCTCAGTGGTCTAAACCCAGTAAATACAAGACTTCCCCTTTATAAAGCCTTAGGCATTTCTCTCATTCACTGCTCACTTTCTCCTCCTGACAATGGGAGCAAAGTAGATTATCAAAAGGTGTTTTAGGTGTTGTGACCTCCAGAAAACCAGAAATACAGAAATCCACACTAGCTAGGCTTTACCATGTGTACAGACACCACAACTAACAAGACCAAAAAGATGGCCCAATGTGATGTAGCCTGCTCTGCTCACACACACTTCACCATGACAGGCTGAGGCCTCTGAAACAGTGAGCCAAAGACATCCTCTCCTCTCTTGCTTCTGTCGGACATTCGGTCATGGTAACGAAGGCAATTAATGCTGCTAAAAACTTAGTTCTGATTATTTTCTTGATTTTTACGGCCATTGTTATTTTTGTGCCTGAGTGTGTACGTGCAGGTATGTGTGTATGAGTTGAATGCATGTTCATATGTGTTGAGAAGGGTGTGCATAGGTGTTTGTGTATGCACAGGGAAACCATTCATATGTGTGTGTGTGTGTACACAGAGGCCAGAAGTCAACTTCGGTTCAGTCTGTAGCAGGAATCTTAAAAGTTCTTATTAATAAAATCAAACCTGAAGCCAGTTATTGGGGTGAATGCTGGAAGATCAGAGAAGCAGAACAAGCCACAGCTACCTCACCTCGCCAATTCCTCAGCTGGTCTTGTTTCCTCAGACTAGAGGCCTCTGAGTCCTCATCCAAATGGGTCTCAGCTGAACTGCTGCTCAAAAGCCTGAATGCTTAACCAGCTAAAAGCTTAACCAGGCCAAATGCTTCTAGTTTCTAATCTCCACGCCTTATATATCTTTCTGTTTTTGCCATCACTCCCTGGGATTAAAGGCTCACTCCCTGGGACTAAAGGCATGTGTCACCATGCCTGGCTGTTTCCAATGTGGCCTTGAATTCACAGAGATCCAGAGGGATTTCTGCCTCTGGAATGCTAGGATTAAAGGTGTGAGTGCCACCATTTTCTAGCCTCTGTATCTAGTGGCTGTTCTGTTCTCTGACCCCAGATAAGTTTATTAGGGTGCACAATATTTTTGGGAACACAATACCACCACATCAGTCCTTGTTTTGTTTTGTTTTTGTTTTTGTTTTTGTTTTTGTTTTAAGACAGGGTCTCTCGCTGCCCCGAGGCTCGCCATCCCCATTGCTGGGATTACAAGCTTACACTGCCATGCCCAGCCTTCCACGTGGGTGCTGGGAGTTGAACCCAAGTCCTCACGCTTACCCAGCAAGCACTCTACCCTCCCAAGCCATCTCTCCAGCCCATGCTGTTGCTGGTACTGTGTCAGTGGATGAGGAGACGCAGCCTCCCAGCAGCAGAGACAGAACAAGAGCAGAGACTCCAACCCAGGCCTCTTCTTCCCTGAGTGCTGAGTCTAAATCCACCTGTTTCATACACAGTCCTGTTTTTAAGCAGGCAGACATTGCATTAAACTTTTAGTCAGTTCTGGAAAGTTATGTGCAATAATGTTCATTCTCTCTCTCTCTCTCTCTCTCTCTCTCTCTCTCTCTCTCTCTCTCACTCGCTATAAAGGCATGCAAAGCTGGCCTCCTGAGAAGCTGTTAAGCATTTGGCAAACTCTGCTACTATTCCAGAGAGAACACTGAGTAACACAAGGGTTCCACTTAAAGCCTACCCAGCTGAGGCCAGCAGGGACCCAGAGTGACTATGACACTACTCATCTTCCCCTGGGGACATGTGTTCAAATACAGGAGCAGGGTCAGTCCTCCGACAGCACAGACACAGTGACTGGATGTTATGCTGAGCACAGGGCACAGGATCTGTAATGTAATGGCTCTGGTCCTATACAGGGGCAGGAGGCCCCATGGATTGGCTGGGGTCCTCTCCCTACCCACCCTCCCATCTCACTGAGTCTTGGCAAAGACAAAGGAAGGGGTGCAATGAGATTTGAAAGTCAAGGTGAGACAGAAAAAGCAGCTACAGCCAACCTCTTCCCTGGGACCGACAGACTACTTGGACACCTCAGAGGAAAGGCATGTAGCCAGGGAGTGCCTTTGGACTTAGGGTAGGAGAGGATGAAAAGCTGGGAAAGGGAGGGGCGGGGGAGCCTTGTCTACCTGTCAGGGTCAGCCTCCAGTTTAAGAATTAGGTAAAATCACGTTCTAACAGAAATGCACACATCAGGCCAAACAACAGGACTGTCTGTGCTTTGTTTTGCTCTGATTTCATGAAAACAGGAACCACAAATCTGTTTTGGTGAAAATGACAACATGTATACATTAAAATACATTAGAATGTTTGAATTTGTAAATGATATATTGTAATTTAAAGGCTCTAGAGATACAATGAAATATATGATACATAACATAAGTCTACATAACAACCTATGTTATATATGATACGTAGTGTATACTATATATAATTCTATATTAACTTGCGTATTCTAGAATGAATTAGAATAATGTGGCCATCTAAACTAGGATTAAAAAGAAAGCCAATGTTCCGAGCATTTCTCTTTGCTCGTCTATGTTCTAAGCTTCAAAAAGTTATATACTATTTTGTTACCATATTCAAGAGTTATATAAAATTTGGGAACTTTGTGAGGGTCTATGGCAACCCCCTGCCCAGTTCTGTTTGTTCTTATTCCCAAATTCCACACAACAGACCCTGGACAAAGCCACGCACACACAGGACAAACCTCTTTTTGATGGCCTCCAGCACAGTGTGGTAAGGGGGCTGAGTGAGTGTTCCCCTCATGGAACACCTGCCAGGCGGTCTTCTCCTCTTCGGGGTGGGGTCTGGGATGGACAGCCAGGGCAGCTGTCCGGGTGGTCTCTCCTGTGCCGTCCGCCTGCTTCTTATCTTCTGCATGTGGACTACTGACTGCTTCCTGGAGCCACAGGCTCTGCGTCAGCAGCCGACAAGCCTCCAGGTCGGCTTCCCACACTCTTGCAAGCAGTGGGCACCTGCAGCTAAGACAGAGGGAAGGAGGCAGGCATGGCAATTAGCTCGGTGGTGGCTCATGCCACCCATCCACAGTGTGTTGGCGTCAGGGGTCATCTCACACTCCACAGCATCGTTTTACAGGGACAAAACATCAGCCTGGGGACATAGAGGGACCAAAATCTGTGTGTCCCTAGTCATGGTGATATTTATGTGGGTCCTTCTTAGCTGTCTGGTCAGCAAGGACACCCAGAATCCCATTTGTGCTTCCAAGAACAACCACCCAGTATAGCACATCGGGCCCTATACTCCCGCTGGATCTCTTTGAGTCAACAAACCAACAAACCTAATCACAGCCTTCTGCAGGTGCTCTTCTACTACCTGGAATGTCATCCCACTAGCAAATACTCACCCACTGACACACATATAACCTGGGCCCAGGCCAGTCGAGACCTGAAGCCACCTGCCATCCCACTCTGCTTAGCAGCACACACCCACTCATGTTCCCCTCACAGAATCACAGTGTTTCAGACTCAGCTTACACAGCCCATCCTTGGTGGGGAGCTCCCCACTCCATAGCTAGACACCCAGGATGGGTCTCTGAGCACTCCCCAGCATGTGCCTGTAACCCTAGTGCAGGGAGGTAGCTGCTGGAGGATCCCTGGGGATTGCTGAGCAGTGAATCTCATGGGAATAGCAAGCTCCAAGTCCAGTGAACGACCCTGTCTCAGAAATAAGTGAAGAGAAATAAAAGAAGATGCCTATTGTCCACTTGTGTGTATGTACACACGCTCGCACGCGCACAGTGCAAACCAAATCTGTGGCATCAGAAGTCAAAAGAGGAGAAAACTTCAGGAGCAGGAGGTCATACCAAGGAGAGCACTGGGGCTCTTGGTGTGCTGGGGGTCCTGCCAGGGTGTGTGTTGTATGAAAACTCATTAAGTAGAACATGTGAGGCCCACTCTGCCTGTGTTCCACGCTAATCCCATGTAACAAAAAGAAAGAGAACGTAGTTTTCTGAGCTACACCCTGTTCAGGATGGAGGAGGATGGACCTAGTGTGGGACAATCCCTAGAAGTTCTGGCTTTAGTCATTTTCCTGGTTCCTAATTTTAGCCAATTCGATGGATATAAAGTGGTGCCTTGGGATCTGGATTTACATTTCTCCACAAGGCTCATTTCTGGTTCCCCGAGACCATCTCTTTACGCGCCCACTGCCTGCCTGTTCCTTTCTTGAGTCCCATTCTGTTCCAAAGACACTTGATGGAGACATTCAATTACTAGTCAATATCTGTAAGTTTTATCATCAACTCATCTTTTCCATTTTTTTAGGAATAATTTTTGATTATGTGGGTGTGTACATTTGAGTGCCTGCAGAGGGCAGTAGAGGGAGCTGGATCCCTGGGACTGGCATTAGAGGCAGCTGTGAGCCTCCTGACATGGGTGCTGGGTACTAAACTTGGGTCCTCTCTGAGAAGAGCAAGTGCTCTTAACTGCTGAGCCATCTCTCCAATGCAGTTTTCCATTTCTTTGTGCCTGTGTTTATATTTTCTATCCTCTATGGAAATTAGCCCCATTTTCATTGGAATTGAAATATAGTGTTATATGCTTGTTCATATTTTTCTTTTAAAATTTTTATTAAGAGAGAGAGAGAGAGAGTGTGTGTGTGTGTGTGTGTGTGTGTGTGTGTGTGTGTGTGTGTGTGTGTGTATGTGCACAAGCATGCCATGATGCATGTGTGGAAGTCAGAAGAAATGAATGATTTGGGAGTTGATTCTCTACCTCTATCATGGGGTTCAGGGGATCAAACTCAGGTTGCCAGACCTGCAAGGCAAGCATCGTGACCTGCTGAGCCATCTCTTAGCCCATTGTTGATAATTTAAAAAAAAAAAAAAAAAACTTCAAAATCATTTATTCCTGAAGACACCTCTCCTTTCTGTTTTGTGTGATATTTCTTTGCCTTCTGACTTTGTCCAGTGTTACTGGAAGCTTGCTATTTGTGTTGGTTTGAATGATAATACCCTCAATAGGCTCATATGTTTAAATGTTTGGTCCCCAGTTGATGAAACTGGGATGGATTGGGAGGTGTAGCCTTGTCAGGGGAAATGTGTCACTGGGGTGGGCTTTGAGGTTTCAAAAGCCTATGACATTCCAAGTTAGTGCTCTCGCTCTCTCTCTCTCTCTCTCTCTCTCTCTCTCTCTCTCTCTCTCTCTCTCGCTCTCGCTCTCGCTCTCGCTCTCGCTCTCGCTCTTGCTCTCTCTCTCTCTCCTCCTTGTGAATCAGATGTAAGCTTTCAGCTACTTCTTCAGCACCATGCCTGCCTACCTGCTGCCATGCTCCCTGCCATGATTGGCCATGGACTCACCCTCTGAAACTGTAAGCCAATAAACTCTTTCTTCTGTAAGTTGCTTTGGTCATGGTGTCATTTCACAGCAACAGTAAAGTAACTTAAGACTCTTAGTTGTTTCGAAGAGGCACCCTTTGCTTCATCAATCCTTGGTATTGATTTCTAGTCTTGATTTCATTGGCTTTTGTCCTTATCTTTATGTCTTCTCCTTGCTCCTTTCTGTGGATTGATTGTCTTACCTTTCCTTGCCTCCCGAGCTCCTGCCTCATTTGTCTCTTCTGACCTTTCTTCTGTTCTTGCTCTCTTAATGCTGTAGTTCAGGTTCTTAAGGGTCTGGAGTCTTGTCTGAGTAATTCTCTAACCACACCCATATTTGTACATTTAAATCTCCAAGTATTAAATACTTTAAATATAAAAAAAGAAACCTTAAGCATTTGCTATCATACTTGCTGATCTTTAATATTTCTTAGCCTGGCATGAGACTAATTTCCAAGATTTATAACTTTATCAACCTGCAGACTTAATGTAGCTCTACAGCCTGCCTTCCCTCTTGCTCTCCTCTTTAAATTGAAGATGCTTACTGGTATTCTTTCCAGTTTGGGGCCCGATGCTGTCATACCTTCTCTTTGGCCCCGGGCCCTATGAGCCAGTGGGAATCATGGGATAGGCCAGTGGGAATCATGGGGCAAGCTGCAGGTCTCTTAAGGCTCCAAAGGAAAGAGGTCAACAACTTTCCACATTTTAACTCCTGGAATGTCACAATGATTGATGAAATATAGTGTGTTTCCTGTTTGAGTGAAAGTGGACTAGTCCCAAGCTATCTCTGGAAGACACTCGCCAAAGTCTAGGTGCCAATTTCAGGGGCACAAGCCATGTGGCGATTCAAATATGTGGGTGTAGGGCTGGAGAGATGGCTCAGTGGTTAAGAGCATTGGCTGTTCTTCCAGAGGTCCTGAGTTCAATTCCCAGCAACCACAGGTTGGCTCTCAACCACCTGTAATGAGATCTGGTGCCCTCTTCTGGCCTGCAGGGACACATGTAGGCAGAACACTGTATACATAATAAACAAATAAATCTTTAAAAAAAAAATATGTGGGTGTAAGATGGCAGTGCTTCTTGTGGACCACATGATCATTTCTTCAAGGGTTAGGTTTCTGAGACATCTGCTCCTTGCATCTGTTTGTACTAAAGAGAGTCATGGTTGGTGTATAAGTGGTGAAATGTCTGCTCTTCTTGCCCAGAAAAGTAATTGGGTCATTAACAAAAATTGCTTTACCAATGAATGACTCAGAAACACCAAGCTTCACAAGAGCAAGGCTGATGTTTTGAGCTATAAGGAGGCAGTTCAGAGGTCTGAATCTCTGTGCACGCTCTGGGTAGAGAACTGAGACCCAGCACTGTAGCTGGAGTTTCTCAGCACTGCTCTTACACTCTCTAAAGTTAAAGGAGGCCTAAAAGATCCATCAACCACAACCATGTCTGACTCCTTAGAGGACTGAATGTGGTCATGCTTTGTTGAGGATGGTGATGGCATGCAGGCATCAGGGGATGTAGCCTGCCTCTCTACTGAAGAAGTAGAAACATCCTGGACATGGTGGCTCATGGCTCATGGGTATAACCCCAGTGCTTGTGAGGTTGAGGCAGAAGGATTATAGTGAGTTCAATGCCAGTCTTGACGACGTAGTGATTTTTGGACTACCCTGGACTAGAGTGAGATATTGTCTCAAACAAAAACAACCAGCTGGGGACCCTGAGTTGCTGTGGATATCATTCCGTATAAATAAAACACTGATTGGCCAGTGGCCAGGCAGGAAGTATAGGCAGGACAAGGAGAGAGGAGAATTCTGGGAAGTGGAAGGCTGAGTGAGGGAGACACTGCCAGCCACCGCCATGACAAGCAGCATGTGAAGATGCCAGTAAGCCACGAGCCATGTGGCAAGGTATAGATTTATAGAAATGGGTTAATTTAAGATATAAGAACAGTTAGCAAGAAGCCTGCCACGGCCATACAGTTTGTAAATAATATAAGCGTCTGTGTGTTTATTTTATAAGTGGGCTGTCGGACTACCAGGGTTTGGTGGGTCCCGGAGAGAAAACTCCAGTTACACTGAGTTCTTCTTCTTCTTTTTTTTTTTTTTGGTTTTTGGCTTTTCGAGACAGGGTTTCTCTGTGTAGCTTTGGTGCCTTTCTTGGAAATCAGGCTGTAGCCCAGGCTGGCTTTGAACTCACAGAGATCTGCCTGCCTCTGCCTCCTGAGTGCTGGGATTAAAGGCGTGTGCCACCACTGCCAGAGGGACCCTGAGTTCTAACACAGATGTCTGTAATCTCAGCCCTTATCACCAACCCATCTCTCCTGATTTACTCTCATTTAAAGGAACAGAGCCTTTTGTCTTGTTCTCTGGAAACTTTGAAAATCATCAGGTCCTTTTTATAGACTCACAGTGGAGGAAAACATCAACCCAGAGAGGAGAAGGTGATGGTTCTAAACTCTCAGTGGAAGCTATTGAAGCATATGTTTGCCTTCTTTCTATTCCCTGGGCAACTTAATCTCCCACAGAGAGAAAAGGCCACAATTATAAATGTTCAAGTTTTACACTTTGATTTATTTTTTACTAATTAAAAAAATTTAAATTTATTTTATGTGTATGGGTATTTTGTCTGCACATATATTGGTGAACCATG